TAGTTTTATGTTGCTTGTTTTCTATCAAATATATTTCAAATAAATCTGTATTACATGTAAAGAATAAAAATACAATTTTTAATGTTGTATTTAGACCTTTTGAGCACATTTCAGAGTATTTCAGTTCTATTCTGCTCTTTATTTGAAAGCAGCTGACACTCTTCTTTCACTTTTCTTTTTGTTTGTGAAATTTTCTTTCTTTTTTTTTATCCACTCACTTCTCCATCTGCTTTCACTTTTGTTTGCTTGGGCCGTCTCTCATCCCAACTTGATAATGAGGAATGTGGTGTGACCCTGACCTCTATCAGCCCATGCATGACCTTCTGACTCCCCTACCTAACCTTTGACCTTTTCTTTGACAGCTTGATTAATTACCCTGTGTTATGATTTATGAGTAAGTGCTATGTAAAAATAATAGACAACAGGTGGTCCTCTAAAAACTTTTTGTGGCATGTTTTCTTTTCCTGCCTAACTTGATGAGCTATTTTAAGTTGGAAACTTGGTTGAACAATGTGTGTTTGGCAGTAATACAGCATTTTTACACATTTGGACACAGCAGTGGAATTCAGGAGCCTGAGAGATGAGGTGTAACTGGGATGAAAATATTACAAAGTGTTAGCAGGGTGCAGTTGCCAAAATGCACATTGGGTGGAAATACAAAAAGGAGTCAACTGACATTTCAGGCGTTTCAGTCTCAGGTCACGTCTTGAGAAAATTGCTCAAATAATGGAGGGGGCATTTTTCAAGCTGAGCTGCATCTCCAACAGCTATGTTTACTTTTACGCTTCACTAGTGACTTCTGATTGGTTGTCATGACCTCATCCTACTGTTGCACCTAGGATGTTGCAACAGTGACACATAGGTACTCTTCTTATGAAAAAGATGGGAAATAAACAGAACATACATCTTTCAAAAAGATGAATGGCCATTCTTATGTCCATTTTAAACATGCACAAATCTAAGTTACAGATCTTAGCTCTTTGGGTTGCTTTTCCTGAGGATTAACTTTGATCTTGCTTTAAATGTTGTAAATGGGTTTCTTTTTTAAAAAAAAGAATCAAATTGATAAAGCTCAAGAAAATGATCTGCTACAGATTCTTACTTACAGGCCAGAAAGATAGTTGCATAGGTCAAGGGATTCCACTCTAGCCTCTGACCTCTCTGGTCACATATGGCATCCCATTCTGGTGAATTAATATGCAGGACTGAATGCTTTCAGCTCATTATTCATTTTCCAGACATAAGAGGTTTGTAGAATTCCAGAATGTATCTCAAATACTTGTTATTGCTATTGACTATCCTATTACTGGCTAATATGCTAAAACTAATATGCTATATTAGTTTTATGTATATACAGAGAGTGTGGGGCATTTTATAGAGACTTCTAAAACAGGATGTGACCATTATATTTTGCTACCTAACACACTTGTGGCATTTTGTGTGACACTTGATACAAAGCATTCTTCGGATTCTGTGTAGTTGCTAACAGTTGTCTATCTAAGCTTGCTTTTACTTCAACTTATCATCTAAATGTCAAGTAAGCTCATATATAAAATTGAAAATAAGCTTTCTGAAATAGCTGTTTGGAATGTCTTCGTAATTTACACCACCCTAATGCAATAGACTTTGGAGAGATATCAGATAATATCCTTGTGGTATATGTTCTGCCTGATAGATTTTAGAACTGACGTTGGATACTATCAAATTGGGTATCTAGCAAATAGCTTTGTTTTCCTGCATCTGTCCTGAAAACATCTATCACAACAATTGGTGCTAATTGGTCTGTGCACATGGACTTGAGGATTACTGAATACTGTATTCTGTCTCAAATATAGTATATTGCAGTTGGTTGGTGCCAATATTTCTAACAATCTGCAAAGCATATTTGTATTGGGGGAAGGGAGAGAGGTTTATCTAATAAGGTTAGAAAAAGCAGTATTGGCAATTATCTTTGAAAATGTTACTTAACTTAGAAAATATGGCTTTCCAAATATAGACATAATTAAATGGCTGATTTTAAAAATGAAAGTAATATTAAGAAGTAAACCTATGGGTTTGTTTAATTTTTGAAGGCATTTTCTTACATCTAATTGGGCCACCTGGACTAGAAACAAAGCTAGTAGCTACTGATCAGTTGATACTGTTTTGAATAGGCATTTAAATATGACGGGGGGAGTGTGCTTCTGCCTAAATTGAGGTCATAGAGTAGTATTTGCTCACATTCCCTAAAAGGTACGTTATAGGTTGTATCCCCTTTTTATAAAACCAAAGCTTTGTTTTACTACTTGCCACAGCATATTTTAAATCTTTACCTAAACATAGGTTGATGTCAACTTTGCTTTAACTCTGTGAAGCAAGTGGTAATGTCCAGAACTTATTTGGGCTTTGACATTGATAATTTGGTAATAGAACAATTTTATTTTACATATTAAAATTGAATAACTTCCTTTACAAGTGTGCTATTCAAAAATCATGCAGATTGAAATATAAATATTAAAGACCCCAATGAAATATTTTTTAAAAACCCAACACTGCATTGTTTGCAGAAGTGAAGAGGAAACAAAGGTCATACTATGGTTAAAGACATAGATTAACTTGTGATAGGTTGAGTTGATAACAATTTAGCAAAACTGATAGAAGTTAAATTCTGCTGTGGTTATATATGCTATGTTGCATTTCTACATCCTTTTATCTGAGCAAGTATTGTATATTACACCTAATCCTCTTTCCTATGCCTATTTTTCTTCATATAGTTTAGGCTGAAGTGCCTGAGGACAAAAGATGGAAAAGAATATGACTTTATATCAACTTCCTTACAAGCAAAGCAACATTTATAATGGGTTTTTAGAAAGAAACCATGAAGTGTATGATAGAATTTCCATGCTAATTTATTGTTACTCTAACAAATATGGTATTTGAAAAAGTTTTAAAGAGCTACTGAGGGTTGGTTTGTGCTGTTTAAAACCTAATTGATAAAAATCCTTTAATTGATTTATGTTGCTGTGATTTTTGAAATGGATTCATTTTTCATCTGTTGATGTGTCTTTGAAAAATTGACATTATGTCCTCATAAAATTGGACAAATGAGTCATGTAATTTTCAGTTACATAATCAATAACTTAGACAAATTTTACTTCTCTGGTGATTTATGTGTGTCTGTTTTTGTGAGCAACAAAACGTGGATACAGTTTCACATTTCAGTTACACATGTAAAATCATAACAAATACATGAATTTTACATCTTGCATTGTAGTGAAAGTAAGAAAGAATCAATACGCAGAACATCTGCTCAGAATAAACAGGTCAGGAACATGGACAGCAAACTAAAGCACTGAGCTCTGCAGGGCACCACTTCTGAATGGTTATAAAAAGTTAACCAGTTTTTTCTCTGCATGTTGTTTAAAATAGTACGAAAGGTGCTTTGTTTAGTTGGTGTTATTTCATTAGTAGTTTTGAATTAGTCCCTGAAGGCAGGAATCTGTTTTTCAAAATATTACACATTTGGTTCCTAAGTTCATTTTCATACATATCTGAATTGAATCATCTTATACTCTAGTACAATTTACACTTTATACATGATCACTCCATTCCAGAGAATAAGGTACGTGTGAATGAATAGGTTCACTCTGAAGAGAGAGCTGAGGGGGAAAAGATGACAGGAGATCACTTACTCATGGTACAGAATCTAGGAGGCAATTTTCTCTTTGGCCTGTGGTGACCTTTTTGCCATGTTCCCTTATACCATAGACAGTGAACTGAATGCCTCTATTTCACCCTGCTTAACAGAGTGCAACAGTGTTCTTTAACTTTAGTTTTGGTGGGAGGAGAAGGTATAGCAGAAATTTGAGAAGGGCGTGAAAAGTTGTACAGGCACAAGGAAGAGGAGTAAGAACGTTCTTCAAATGTGATTTTAATAACTAGTCGAGTGTGTCCAACTGTAGAAAATCACCAAGTGACAATCTGTCTACCTGACAGTTACTACAATGCATTACAAGATTTTTGAATAGCTACATAGATTAGAATAAAGCAACACCAAATAAAGTATCCTTTGTTAACTTTGATCATCTATATAGGTAGTCTTTCATCTGCTCACTTGGTCTGTTAGGCAGAAGTTATTTGTTGGATTAACTAGGTTAAAATGAATTTTACTTCAGTACCTGGAACTTGTTTAGTAAACTATAAATAAGATTTTCAAAATAATCTTGAAGATAGATCCACAAATTATGTGTTGGTATTTTGCTTTTGTTTCCTTTCTCCTCCTTTTGCATAGGTATTTCAGTATTTTGTTTAACCTACACAAAATGCACCATGCTTTCATATATTCTTCATTAGTAAACATTTTCTGAGAAAAATAAAATATTAATTTCTCCTAAAGTCTGTGAAGACGATACATCATATAATTCCAATAAAATTGTTCAGGTCTAAACTGGTAACTAATTCATTGATTTCTTAGAAACATCAAATAATCACAGTTTATATTGATTCATTGTTACTCAGCTATCAGTTTGTGAATTATCTGCTATGGGACAAAAGTGTTTAATAGTTTAGGCTGTAATCCTATACACAGTTTGACTGCTTAAATCCTTTTGAAATCATTCTGATTTTTAAAAAAACTAGCTGCACATAAGATTGGAGCATAAAGCTGCCTGAATAGTTTTTAAAAGAGGCAATGTTGGTAAAAGTTTCTATCAATGAAGCATTAACTATATATGCTAGTGACCATGTTCTATAATCACTTTTTTATTTTAACAAACCTACTTTCTGAAGAATTGCATGCAATATTGAAAAGTTATTAAAAGGTTAAAAAGAACTAGGCAAATAAGTGAACATAAATGTAGACTAAATAAATTCACATAGAAACACAAAATGAATGAAACAGTTCTATCCTTTGTCAACTTTATGAAAATATTTTAAATATACATTCAAGACAATAAAATAAAATGTAAACCATTTCAAAGGCAAAATCTATATGTATTCTTTTTCTTCTTCCTCTGACATAGGAAGGCTATGGAGTAATAGTACTGAATCCAAATGAGAACTATATTGAGATTGAAAAGACAAAAGCCCAAGTACAGCTGTCTCCTGATAGCTCAGATGAACCTGCAGAAAAGAGAGAGAGAAAAGATAAAATCCAAAAAGATACAAAGAAGCGACGGGACTTCTATGAGAAATATCGGAATCCACAAAAAGAAAAGGAAACAGTGCAATTGTATATTAGAGTAAGTTGCTCTATTTTGTTTTGTGTTAACACTGATTAATAGAAAAATGTTTTAATTTCACATACATAGTTGCACTCTAAAAATGTGGTTTTTCTTCATTTATATAACTATCAAGTACTAAAAGTAAAACTGTCTTCTTTCTATTGTTATTTTCATTTGCATTCAATGTGAAAGTGTGTGTGTGTGGGGGGTGGAAATCGTACTTAATTTCAAAGAGAAACTTCAAATAAAGCCCTAGGGAACATAATATGCATTCCAGAGACAAGGACTGATTTGAAAAGTAATTTATGAAATGTTTTTTGAGTAGATGTGTGTATAAGATCTGTCTTTCAGAAACACTCTTTAAATACAGTTTAGGCAACATGTTTTACAGATGGTGACTGTTTGCAGCATTATGCTGTTATATTCTTGAGAAGCAAGAATATTAAATGATAGTCTAATACTTTAACATATTGCCTGATAAATTAATAATATAGTGAGCAAAATTCTGATGTTGATATTGTATGGTTGTAGCTTTACCATATAATGTAACATTTCTGTATGAGTACCCACCCACTGTATTTCAGCTAAACTTCTGAAGGAAGATAAAGGGAGACAGTTATTAATAAATACCTTAATAAATATTTAAGCCAAAATAGTTCAAGAACAGTGCAGCGAGGAAATTCTGCCCCTTGCTCTTTTCTTTTCTTAGCCAGTGAACCTTTGCACTTTGTAATGCTAGCAGCATGGGATCGTTATAACAGTGCTACCCAAGGATTTCTAATTCTGCAGGGGGCACAAACAATATTATTTGCACTTTGACACATTCAGCTTCATATACATATGATGCATTATACATTCGAGACATATTCATACAATTTTCAAAGCTCTTTTTATAGAAGTTTGCATTGTTATTCAAGAATAAAATATGTCTTAAATGCTCCAGTGTCATTAGAATGTTCTGCCTAGGATACCTAGGATGATTGAACAGTGAAAACCTGGGGGGGGGAATAGGAATGTTTTGCATTTTTTTTGCATGTTCCTTATGATGATGATTAATGTTACTCTAGATGACTTCAATGTATAAAACAAATACGGTTTAACTAATAAGTTTAACTTTAGATGCTAAAATGAAAGAAATAGGAACCAACTGCATGTCTATATGAATGAATGAGGAACAGGAAAGAATGAGGAAAATAATAGCTGTATTTTAAAGAGCAACTGAAAAGTGTTGGCTTTTCCATGTTACTTCCTTTTATGATGTGCAATAGATTACTCATTAGTCTGCTCCACTTTAAGAGAAGCACCTCCTCTTTTAAGGTAAGAGAACCTTGGTGTTGTACAGGGTGTTGTACAGCTGCCCAGATTTGAGACCCTTTCCTGTGTTTCTCTTTGGGTTTGGGTAGTTAGGCTGAGAACAGGACCTGAGTCACAGTGCTGTATCATTAAGTGTGAATTCTGATGTTTGGTGAGAATGCCACTGCATGAAGTACTACCCATTACATTGCTCTTTTTTGCCTGCTAATCCAGGTCACCTATTAGAATACAGCTTAGAGCCAAAGATTTCACTGCACAAGCAGAACACACCTCAGAATTCAAATATATCTCCACAGCTAAAGTATCACCAGAGGAGCCACATCCCTTGGTGACCTGCTTGGGGGGGGGCTGCAGAGGGGAGAAATTGATGACATTCACAGTCCTTGAAGTCTCAATTCTACCCAGGTTGAATTCATTGAGAACACACTGAAAGTCAAAATAAATAGGCAGACTTCATAGCACGGATGTTTCAAAATTACTTTCAATTACTTTGTGCATTGTTTATCAAAATGACTAAGAGCACTTCTCTATGAGAAGACCAACCCTTTTATTTCTTGTTTGCTAGCGTATGAATTAAGATTGGACCATTATAGGTAGTGAACTTATATTATTGAAAGTTGACGTTGCCACACCATTGCTCTTCTGTATATTTGTATGTACAGTGATAATATTTTTATTTCTCACTTTTTCACAGTGGTTTTTTTGTTTTCCTTTGTTTTGCAAATTTTCCTATTAAATTCCACATTAGTGTGTGTTTAGGCATCTGATGAACAGACAAATTAAGGTAGATCTACATGACTTGCATTAGAAGGTGCTGTTTTCCAGTCTTGTAGTACTAGGCTCTGAGAAAGGTTTGTAGTATGCTCAGCAGACTTTAAAAAAATACAGTTTGTGCTAATTCCTACTAGGAGAACACTGGTTGACTATTCCCATAAACCCATAAGGGATGTCACCAAAACACAGTGGAGTTATACCCAAAGACAGGTAGACAGGTAGACCAATACTAGTTAATAATTAAACACACACACACAACATAGCTGCAGAAAGTAGAGAAGACAGTACTCCTATGCAAGAGAAAATCTTGTTTTACTAAATGCATTACCACTTCCAAATACACTACTGAAGATCAGTTAAATACTATCTGCATAATAGTCTATACTGGTTGTGTTCTGGGTTTGTTTGTTTTTTAAGTAATTTATTCAGCAAAAGCTTGAATATGTTAGCTTTATAACTTAGTTATTTTAATTATTACTCTCTCTTTTGTAACTAATATATACTTAAATATCTGTGAATGGCCCAGTTTTCCATTATTCAAGAATTCTACACAAACCTCTATGGTAATCCATATTTACAACCATAAGCTACAACAGAACGGAGGTCTCTGCTAAGTCTTTTTCTATGAGACGAATATAAATAGAAATGACTAACTAGCAGATTATGCGTACCTTCTGAAGCTTTAAGAGTACAGCTTGAAAGATCAAAGTGCTTATTGTTTCAAGCTGTAAATTTTTTAACTATGAAATAATGTACTTGCCAATGTATGTTACAGCTTGTTAAGGGGATTGATTTGGTCTGGGTAATAAACTTCATCTCACACAATATGGCAGGAAAGCTTACTTACTGTGTTTTCTTATAAGACAATTTTTTGTTCCTAAAAACATCTGCCAACTGTGTTCAGTAGTCAAAAGAAAAATGTCATGTTTCATAGGATTATATTTCGTTCAAATCTAAGGAAGAACTCAGTGGAAATTTGAATTAAATACAACATTCCATACAAAAGAAAATGTTTCACATGAGATTATTTAATTAAGGCATTGTACATTACCTAATAATATGAAAGTATCTTTTTAAGGAGTCAAATAGCTGAACATACAGTATATACTTTCATGCCTTTAAAATATATTTTTCCTGTGTTTATGGACACATTATTTCATTCAGACCACCAGAGGCTGCTGCTGTTCATACTGGCAAATGTTTATTCTGGAAACATAGCTCCCAAGCCAATAAACTCTAAGCATATTCATTGCTGAACTTAAGTAAAAAAAACTTTGGGATGCAAACTTAGATTAGCCCGAGAGCTTGAACTCATATAGTAGAATGTTTACTTCGAAGAGCTGCACCTCTACATTTTATTCCAAACTTTTTGAAACTCCCCTCAATTTCAGAAAATGTCATGATGCATTGTAGGGGGCTACTATTCAAGAAAAACCAGCTTTGCTTCTTTAGATCCTGGCTGTTATATTTCAGCATAGATTATATGGAACATACAGATACAAATTTTCTTCCATCTGCATGGTATTAGATAAACCTTAAATATAACATTAAGGAACAAATGATGGATGCATGCATATTCCCCAGTTGTGTAACTATAAATTTTATTTTGCATCTGTGAAATTGCAACAATCCTTTAACCTAAGTCTGCTCCTTTTAAATATATTTGATTGCAACTTAATTTTTTTATAAATTCTTCAGTGGATTGTGTAAAAGTTTTCTTCACTGGCAATTAATGCAAAATAAGAATCAATAGGAGGTAAAAGTAAGGAAATCAGCATATAATGTTGGGAAATGTGCTGCAAGCAACCTTTGTCATAACCCTTTAGAACAAACACAGTATTGATGGAATTTTTTAATTAATTTTTTTTAAAAAATGTATGTTCATTTATGAAAAAATCTAATTTTAGGACCTAGAATATAACTTATTTTGATTAGGGGTGGGTGGCATGGGAACAGGGGTGAGAAAAGTCCCCTCCCCCATTTGTTTATCACTAGCTTAGTTGCAAGCTTGATCAGTAGTAATAACAGTAGCAAAGTGAATGGCCTTTTGCCATGTATCTAGATGAATGAAATACCTATGTGCTAGTATGAAACTTTTTAAATAGGAGAAAAGGATGAGAGAGAGCAGCTTTCTTAACAGAAGGTGACAACAGGAGGAATGGCAGCAGGAAAGCTCTGCAAGAACACAGCATTTCTGCTCATTGTGCTATTAAGCTTGCATTATACTCTTTAATATGGTCCTCTCCCTCCTCTTGGAATATACATAGTCTCATATTTTCTTTGAGAGACCAAGTTGTCATAGAAAAATATTGACTATTCTTTAAGTACTTCTGTAAATTCTTCCCTAACCCTTTCCCATTCCCCCAATATTTTTAGGAGATGGTTTTTAGTGGAGTGACCATAGCTCAGCGGGGGGCAAATGCTTTATATACTGAAGGTCCCCAAACTCCAGTATCTTAAGTTAAAAGGATCTGGTAGCAAGTGAGGCAAAAACCTCTGCCTGGAATCCTGGAGAGCTGCTGGCACTCTGAGTAGGTAATATTGGTCTGCCCTGAAATAAGACAGTTGATTATTATGCAGTCCTATACACAATTGGGACCAGATAGCTAAAAGAGTGCCTCTTTGGGGCCCAGACACAAAGGAGTCATGGTGAGGGGCACAGTCAACAAATCAATACCAGGAGATAAGAGTTGGATTCACATTGGCCACAAGATGGAAAGGTTTGGCACAGGCATTGGGCATGTATACAGTGATCAACAAGCCCACTTGCTGGTGGATCAGGAATTGGGGGTAACCAAATTTATGGCACGAATCACATCTGGAGAATCATTCTGGTCACTAGGAGGGGATGCCGGGGCCCCTTCAGCCCCTGAATGGGCATCTGAACAGAAGCGCTGCCCTCCAAGATCCCTTAGGAGGACCCCACTTTG